CCCATCACCCATTTCATAGAAGCCTACCGGGCTCTCCCAATTTGAGATTTCCTACCCATCAAGCATAAAGAAGGTCGTGAACGTTTGAAAATGTTTTCAAGAAAGAGCCATTGGGGAGTGGGATGGGGGAGAAACGGGTGTGCAGTTGTCAAACTAGCCTAACTGCATGCAGTCTTCGAAGCCTCCCTTCCGAGCGTAGCGCTTCAAACTACCTGTTTAATGCGAACGTCTTGAGATTGCAAGTATCGTTGTATCCTCTATAAAAACCGTTGTCGCCCTCGGACTTACATACATCACCATTCCAGAACAATCTCCCGGATAACAGGAATAATATTCAACTAAGCGCCCGAGCGTTTCACTTGTAAACCATGTCGCAATTATCGAGAAATCAACTGGAAGCAATCATCTTCTTCGGAAGGTGTCGCGTCCTCAGTGTTTGCTTCATCAACCCCAATACAAGGTTGCATTTGAAGAGGACATGATCAACCAAAAACCGTCAGTGGTTTATTCGCTCGCTTCCACTTCGAGGATGCGACGCCAGCCGACCAAGTTTGTCTGCCGGAGGTTATAAGCAAGGAATAGGCAGAGCTTCTCATCGGGACTCGAGTAACGTCCTAAGCATATTCATCAATACGATCTCAAAAAAATCCATACTAGATGAATTCCGCATCAACTGATCGACTACTTTCGCATGTCTCAACCACTCGTTCCTTCTTACCTCCAATCGGAAGGAACTTCTGCAGGATCTGGTGACGGCAGATTAGAGGTGGACCCTTTATAACAACAACAAGAGAGTCGCTGGCTGCGTACTGAAAGGGGAAGATCTGTCAAGGCAGCTTAAGTCAGCTGCATCAGAAGGCATAAAAGCGTGGCAGCTTTTATCATTCAAAGGTGTGCCAAACCGCGATTACTTTCTCAATACTAGGCTGTCTTGGCTATTATCACAACAGCAGTTCCAAGAACTCGCTCATGCAGTCAAAGAAAAGCTCAAAAATTTTTTTGCATATTTTCTGCATGATAACTCTCGGCATCACGTCAAAAAGGCAATGGTGTCTCAAGAAAACGCAGCCCAATCAGGAATCACAAAAATTTGGCTGGACTTCTGCTGCCTACTCTCCCTGTTCCCTGTCCTCACCTCTTCTTAGGCTCGTCCTTATAAGCCATAGGGCAGTTCCCGACCAAAACAGGTTCGTCACTCGCGGTGGGCACGGAGTGCGATGATCGAATTTTCTTAAACATACAATCCTCCTTTTTTTGGAGATAAAAGTAGTTGACATACTCCTTGTTGGATAAACATCATGGATGACAATGCTGATTTCGTAGTTCAGGGAGAAAAAGTTCGAATAAGTTTGTAAACGGATTCAAAACATACATCCGAGTGTTTTAAGATCCTTGCATGAACCTAACAGAACAGAAAAAACATTCTGGATCAAGCCTCCACCAGGGGAGTCATTGAATTGCTTTCATGAAGGGCCACAATGCCGAAGCGAAAAAGTTTGTTGAACGCAGCCTGAGTAGGCGGGGAAGAAGAGGGAGGAATAAGTATTGACTTACTTCAGAGATTTAAATGTGAGCAAGGCCAAGCAGCTGATTTATACCAACAAAATGATGCAACGTAGTTTTTGTTGTTATTATTAAATGTTGCTCTGCTGAACAGATTTTTTAATGGTAAAATATTTATTTTGCCTGAAGTTTTGACAGGTTGGTCGCTCTGATGTTTCATATTTTTTCTTGCACTATATGGCTACAATTCCTCTTTATCTAAATTCATACACGACCTCGTACTCGTCATGAACACAGGAGTGCTAACAATCTGGAATCAATAGTAAAGTCTTGAAGCTAGATACATTTCCGTAAGGGTAAAAAAATTGGCGATCAACAGCTAAAAGGCTTATTGTGGCTCAACCATGGTGACTGTGGTGGCCTTCACCACCTCCATGACTATGCCCTCCTCCAGTTGAGCTTGTAGTGCTCATACTTGCTCCATGATCATGACCTCCTCCACTGGAAATGGTAGGGCTACTAGCTCCTCCATGGTTATGACCTCCAGCTCCTCCGCTGGAACTCACAGCGCTCATACTTCCTCCATGATCATGGCCTCCTCCACTGAAAGTTGCTGGACTCATACTTGCTCCATGATCATGACCACCTCCATTGGAAATGGTAGGGCTACTAGCTCCTCCATGGTTATGGTCTCCAGCTCCTCCGCTGGAACTCACAGCGCTCATAGTTCCTCCATGATCATGACCTCCTCCACTTGAGCTTGCAGCGCTCATACTTCCTCCATGATTATGGCCTCCTCCACTTGAGCTACCTAAAACTATAGCTATAGCTTTAAAAAACTCTCCAATATGTTAGGCTTTGTATTGAAAAGAGTGGCTTGGCAACATACCTGCCTAGACAGTAAGAAGTTGATAATGCGTCTTACATCAATTGCGATTTAAGCGTTCTAACGAACTTTGAATACTCATTGAGTTCTATCTGAGCCAGTTCTAGCTGAGTTTCTTCCACTACCATGCTATATGCCGTCTCCCCTAGAATCCGTAACAGTAGGGTATTTTCAAAAACAGCCCCATCACTAGTCTGTTCTAGTTTGCCTCTGAGGGAGAGAGAACTGATTTTTGACGAAACCAAATTCGCCCGCTAAGCCGCTGTTCTTCAACGCAGCTCCTTCATACAACGAATACTTCATACTTTGGAAATATACCCAAGTGAGAAGATTAACAATAAACCTACCGCCATGCATGGACATCATATTCATCATCGGATGCATGTGTGACATCATTCCGTGCATCATTGGCATCATACCTCCCATCATTGACATCCCACCGTGCATCATCGGCATCATACCTCCCATCATTGGCCCCATCATCATACCCATGTGAGAGAACGTAGGCCGAAATATCATCAACAGCACCGAGATGGTACGGTGGTAGTACATTCCGGAAAATTTCTGGAAAAAGGGGCGTCATAATTGCTTCAGCACGCCTATGAAATAGCCCAAATGGACATAATAGCAGACACATACTCAATTGGAAGCCAATAATTAATTCAAGACGTAAAAAATATCAAAAAGATCTGCATATGGGTCCAACAATCACAATGCAGCCATCACACATGGTAATTTACCCTCCCGGACATCGGGCAGTGGAGGATTAGGTGAGTCCTGTCGTGGAGATATTCAATGTTTATAATATTGGCGATATTGGTGAAAGTGCTGCTCGAACTCAGATTAAGGCGACATTGATGTTTTTCCAGTATAAGCTGAATATTTTATAAAAAGAGCAGACCAATTCACCGACGGCGTGGTCTGAAAAGCCGTACGGAGGCAATGGAGTACGATGAAGAGATGGGCCTGTTTCCCTACGCGGGAGTTTCTCCTATCGATCATTGAATTAAGCTCACATTCAATACAATCAAACACCGATTCAAGCGGTACCCCATGGATTGACAAGCAATTGCAGGTTGTGATGGTATTCTGAGTGGAAATAGGAAGGAAGAACGATAACGATAGGGAAAGGGATTTATTCGACAAGACACCTACACTGATGGAGAGTGGTGTGGCATTGGAAGTGGTTGGTTGCAGAGTGCACCAGCACAGAAGTTCGGTTAAGAAGAGCGATCATCGCGATACCACACTTTCCTCAGTTTTTTGATGAATGTCTGGAAGTAAGGAAGCCGCTCGTGCATGTCGAGGATGGCCTTCATGTGGACAATGTTGACGTGGACCTATGTCGAAGTCTGTGTTCACTTTTACGGGTTTTCCCATTCCGCAAGCCATTCACGTCCTGCGCGGGGTTAAAAACGGTCTTATAACTGTTTACGACGGCGACATCTAGTGGTTTGCTAGGTTTTTTGGGTGGAACTATCGATTGGCTGAAACTGCGGAACCTTTCGACGAGATCGTCTCCTTCAGGCTAGAATTCCAGCACATTGCGGAATCAGACGACAATCAGCTGCTATTCACGCTGATCATGCAATCCGCCCTCCATCTGAGGGTATGAGATAATTCAAGCCAGGCCGGTGTCTACCAGCAGCCATGGAATGCAGGATGTGTTTTTTTCCATCAACCTGTGGCTTAGCCCATGATCAGATCTTTAATGCCAGTCACTCATACTAGGCATTTCAATATGTGGTTTCCTTGAAGGGGGACTCCGTAGAGAGAGCAGAAAGGATTCAAAGCTTTTTAATTGAACTTGCCTTGATGATTAGTGACAACATATACTGAATATCACTGCTTAATTTTTAGGCCTCACTTGTAACCCCTCGCCATTAGAAAAAGCTCAGACCTTAATTTGAAGGTTTAATTCATTTCGAGACAACGCAGTCTCGCAACCTTTGTTGTTCAGTGCTTTCTTCCGAGTCAAGATGTGGCTCGGTTAAGTCCTTTTAGAATACGCATGTGGTCATTCATTGCTTTATAAAAATTACCAAAAAGACCTACGCCCTGAAGGATAGAAAAGGATAGAAATCTGGAGTCTTCGAAGGATAGAAAATAGCTTTGACGAAAGAGGACTTTTCCTTCACATCTAGGCTTCTGCTATTTTCGGATCATTCATTGAGATCAAGTCTTGTGATGATCACCTGTATCACCTGTCGTCCCGTTGATCGTCGATTTCCTCGAGCGGGCGCCAGTAACGTCTCCATTCGTCCCTGTCACGAGCCAGAGTGGTCCAGTGAATCGTTCTCGCTTCAGGGACTAGAGGTTCAAGATTCCCTTCGTTCAGAGCTTTCGTGAAGAAGTCGACCATCTCGTTGGCGGCCTTCCTGGAGTTCGTTTGATGTCCCGAGGGATCCATTCAGTAACCGCCCTGGTCCAGCGGTCATCACTACATCGCATAACGTGTCCGGCCCACCTGATCTTCGATTTCTTGGCGCAATCAACGGCATCCCTGATCTTCGTTCGGTGACGGAGCTCGGAACTCCGGATTCCCTTCTGCACTTGTGTGTATAGGGAAATTCCGAGCATCGTCCTTTCCAAAGCGCGTTGAATAACGCTGACAGCATGCTCATCCTGCTTTCGTAGAGTCCAGGTCTCCGAGGCGTGCGTTAAAGCAGGAAGGACAGCAGTGTCGAAACGGTGAGCGCGGAGCCGGATGTTCTTTGTCTTCTTTACTACTTCTTGTGATGATAATAAATGATAATGATGATGAAAACAATGACGTTTATCAAAATTTCCATAACTTATTAACGATACAGCTGAAATTCCTCTCTATCCAATTAATTACTGACGATCTTGTTCTTGTTGAAGGCCACGAACATGAACAGTGATGGTCGAAATGAAAAAAAACACGGTGTTGTTCAGTATGTGCTAAACCTGAGCGTAAGATCTCGATTAGTACTAGGTAAAGACTGCGATAGTCGTAAGAGCATTTTGTGGGTGATAGACTCTATCGATATACCGCTATAGTTTTGAGCATGAGATACCAAAGGGTAAAAATATTGTCACTGTAGCTCACAGTCATAAAAGGGACTGAGAAGGGAAGATTCCGGAATAGGGCCCATACTAATTGACGGTTAACCGAGTAGACGATTAGCTGACGTATCCATAACTGTTCAACCATGATTGTGTCCTCCACTCGAGCTTGCAGCGCTCATACTTCCTCCACCTGTACTGGCAGCACTCATGGTACCCATACTGCCTGAAATCATGGCCACTTAGGGTATGATGACTCAGTGAGTAGTAGAAGTTTGCTTTGAAAGCCATAGTGGAACAGTTCAAGCGCTTTCACAACATTAGCGTTTCCAGAGTAAACTCAGACTGGTAGTAATGCTTAGTAATCCCGCATAGTCATCACATGGTCAGTCTTCAGAGGGCCATTATACGAAATTTGCCACATGGTACTTTCTGTCGATTTGGAGCATAGTAGAGCTTAGCCGCACGCTGTCAAAGGTACTATGCGTAGGCTGCGCTATCAAACTCCGGGACCGGGGTCGCCCGAATGAACTGAGACTACCATCCCTTTAGGACCACTTACTAGGGCTATTGTGTTTCTGGGTTGACACTGTGAGACCACAGTGAACACGGTATCGACTACGAAATATTGTGGAATAAAAAATCCTCTAACAAACTTACCACCACCACCCATCATACCCATCATCATTTGCATGTGATTCATCATCATGGGCATCATCATACCGTGCATCATTGGCATCATACCTCCCATCATTCCCATCATTGGCCCCATCATCATTTGAGAAGATGTTGGCTTTATTGCCATCAAGACAATAAGCATGACACAGTAGTAATGCATTTTGTAGAATTTCTGAAAAGAGCATTGTTGTGGGTATAAATTTATTTCTTTTCCTTCCATGTGTATACACAGAAAAAATATAAGATTAAAAAATTCTAAATGAATCCCGTTTAAAAGATGAAGTAGTAAAGATCGGAGAGCCTACTACATAGTTACTCGCTGCAATAAAAAGAGAGGGAAGCACTTTAAATAGGTTTTGCTCGTTCTTAGAAGGAAAAAACTTTTTGGCGAATTTCGGTCCATTCCTTTCCCGGCAGAGAGTTGTTGACACCTAAGTCTGTGAAAAAAAAACAAGGAAGGAATGAAAAATAAGGAAAAAATGCAACTGTGATTCAATGCGAACGATGAGCAGAACATTGAGCATTAAGCATTCACGTTGATCCTCCCTCCTTTTAAGATGAACCGGCATCCCATTTGCCCTCAAAATCGTAGTAGACTAGTGGTTAATAGGGCTTTAGTAAGCTGCCTGAATGACAGTGCACCAACTTGGTCAATGGCACTTTGGCGCAAGAACGCTGCCAGATCTTTGAATTGAGGCAGGAGGCGTGTTGTGGGAATATAACAGTGCACTCCAGGAAGACCAACTACAACTCAAAGGTGAATGGGAAAAAAGATGATGGATTGGAACATCACTTTAAACGGCGACAGCTGAAGATTTAGCATGGTAGATGTCCTTGTCAGTACGCACTTCAATCGAAAATTTCGTCTTACTGAAGTCGCTGCTATTCCGGAGTTCTACATTTGATAGGGCTACGTCTCCCTCTCACAAGGTACTCAGAGAGATAATCGTTCAATTGGGGCAAGGAATACCAACATTGCCATCAATTCGAACCATTTCGCTGTCCCTTTGGGTTTTTTGGCATTTGGGGTTTTAATGGCTCAAACTTTGATGGGTTTCATTTGCAGCCGTTTTATTCAGATGTAGTCTGAGGACGGGGAGGGGATGGGGGTACTTTTTCTGCAGTATTTGGTAAGGATAGGAGGTTTACGAGCAGCTAAGCTAAGCGTGAACGTTCTGGAAGGATCCTGGTATTGGCCTGTAAGTTTCGATCAACTTTGATGAAACTACAACCAACGGATAGTGCGACGACTCATTGAATAGCAGGGAATAGCATTCCGTGAAGGCAAGGTCGAATGGGAGATAGGGTGAATCACGAAAGAGGCTTCGGACGAGTAACCGACTGCTTCCCTCAAAAAGCAGTGGAACTTTGCAAGAGATTCGTTGCAGAGTGCACATGTTCGGTAAACTGTGCACGAGTTCGGCCGCAAAAATGATCTCTGCTATACCCTTCCATTAAATACCATTGCCGAAAGAGTGGCCATAATTCATACGTGATGAGGATGTTCTCTGCTTGAATTTTTGACGCAGAGCAATGCCTAAGTCTGTGTTCTCTCTTGAATGTTTTGCTAGTTTGCACGTGATTTGTTCCCTTCGTGGTAATAAAGAGAGTCCCCACAAGATTGCCATCAATCTTGACGTGCCAAGGAGAAGGAGAGGGGAGGGGGTGAGGGTACTTTTTTTGCAAAATTTGGTAAGGATAGGAGGCTTACGAGCAGCTAAGCTAAGCGTGAAGATTCCAAATTGGATTTGCAAAGCCCTTGAAGCAAGTTTTTGCGAAATAGCAAATTCCTTCAGAGTAACGTTCGTCAGGGTGTCGTAGTGTGTTACAAGTCTAAACATCGGCATCAGAGTTACCCACACAGATAAACTTACAATTATATTTTGGCGTTTCCTTCAGGATCATAAACTTTTGCAGAAATTTTACTGAGGCAATCAAATTAATCAGATCAAAATACCTAGTGCTAGGATAACATGGTAATTTGAACTGATACTGTTGTAACTGAGTGGGTTACAGGCTCTCAGAACCAGTTTTCTGCAATTACTGAACGCATGTATGAACTTTTTTTAAGGACTGTCAAGCGAAAACGAAAAATAATAAAAATGAAGTTGTCGGAATCAGTCGCCATACAAAAAAGGTACTACGAAGTCACTGGGGGTATTAACCTTGAGGATAGGCCTGAATGTCCGATTCTTATAGCTGGGTGAACCGAACTAGGTTGAGCTGGAAGACATTACAAATAGCTTAAAATCTCTTGGAGGTATTGAATAAATTATAAATAATAGGTTGATGCATAATTATTGCGAATTTTTTCGCTTTTTCTTTTCTCTCCATACAATTTCAATATCAAAGTTGAGATTTTTATAGGAATAAACTACTCGTTTTCTGTAATAGAAATATGTCTAGAAAGTCATCTTCTTACTCGCCACATTATGTTCTATTAGTTCGAGAAATGATCGAAGGTGGCACACTCATTACGCAATCTCAACGAACTTTTTGGCGATGGAATTGTCGGCCAAAGCCAACTGAGGACTGGGATTTGCTCCTAAATCTTCTTATTGACCCAAAGAAACTCCCATAAGTTATCACGTCACCCGTTCGTTGAAAGATTGGCTAGCAAACAGGCCTTACGACAATATGGATGACTTGGTGGCCGATGTCAAGGTAAGGATCGCCTCCAAGGACCGGAACTTCTTCGCCTGTGGAATCCAGCTCCCTAGCAAATGGGAACAGTGCTTGACGTGGATGGTGAATACGTTTTAGAGTAATTATTTGAACATGTCTTTGCTACATATTGCCATTGTTTCTTAAGGTAAAGTTTGCTGGAAAAAAACCGCAATAATTGTGCATCAACCTAGTAGTTATTGTAGCAATCATGGGCTTTTTTTTGGAATAGATTATAACAGCTTCGGGATTCGTAGTTCTGCCTAGGCTTAACTACATATCTTTAATTTCAAATGTAGTCTATTATCCTTCAGTGTATAAGATCTATGAATACGATTGACATCATGAAACTACATTGCCACTGCGACTGCTACTGCGACTGAAACCTGTATGTAGAGCGAGAGCTATGAGGTCTTGGAAACTTTCTTCTCGAAAGTCATCTATCATATAGGCGGCTATAAACGGCAGTTGGTCTGGCTTCTTCTTGGGAGTGATTCTGTTGTGTTGGCAGCTATAAATGACATTCTGCCCCAGCAATGCTGTTCTCTCTAAACAAATTTTGCCTCTCTTTGAAAATGAAGTATTCTTCGATCCCTCTGGGTGTTCAAATGTACAAAAAATATCTTGGGCACCAAACATATCTGCTAGGTCCCAGTCAAGGCTGAATGAGTTTTCAAAAATGGCAACAAGAAGATAGAAGAGGATTGTGAGACATGCAATAAATTGGTGAGCAATTCAGCGATTTGCGACCGTTAGTTTCTGCTTCTATGTCCTGTAGCACATATTTGGTTACATATAAAATATAATACTATCGTAAATTCTGGAGAGACTGGTACCCTCAAACCCCCCTTATGTGAAAAAAATGCAGGTTATTCATCTAAACGTTTTATTCTTGATTTTAAAAGTGTTCGAATGCAAATGATGTGAAAGTACATATTTCTATTATTTTTAGAGCATTACTGTAAGCCCTTTGATCTTGGAAAATGGGTCGAGCAGCTATCATGAACTTACCCTTTCTCCGTTCCTCTTGACCTTTCAGAGCAAAAATTTCAATAGATTTCCTTCCTAGAATGAACGCTCACTTCAGAGTCGTGCTCTTTCGAGGTTATCAGGTAAAATTTAAGAGATATTAAGCACATTTATGTATAACTTTCGCGGAAATGGTAATTACCGATCCTTAGTCCCGAACGGAATGCTCAAGGCGTTGAAGTGTGTGTGGAAATGCTAAACCGAACATGGCTTGCAGATGAGAAAGCTCTTGCTGAGTGCGCCGTGCATTCCACAGGACCATGCGAGGGTGCTAGATTTTGCCAATATAGATGGAATGTAATAGTTTACTACAAAGTACTTCAAAGTAATGCATTGAAGTATGGTCGCATCTGTACCCACTAGAGACTTCGATAAACATTCACAAGAGGATTCTTTTTAGTCTGAGTAATGGCTTCAGGAGCCTTCTGTATTCAATTAGTTGCTCTGTTTTCCCAACCTTCCATTGTACTAGTTAACAGGCCCTTGGTGGAGGAGAGGAGAGGAGGGAGAAGAGTATAGGAAAGTGGGGGNNGGTTGTTCTGAGAGAATTTCCATTTTGCTATTTGACCTGCAACCCATGTATACTGTGGATCGACTGTACTGTACTACATACCGTACAGCGACTGTACTGTATCTGTACCACCTACTATCAATTCGTGGGGCGTTCAGTAGGAGTTCTCACTTGAGCAGGTCTTATAAATTTAGTAAAGCCTTACAAGTATAGATGATTACAAAAAACTCAACTTAAACTTGAAACAATAGACTAGTACCAAAGGGGTGAGGGCTGATCGCAATGGCGGAAAATCAACGAGACCACGAGCTAGTCTACCCTGAGCTGCATGGTCTGTCCTCTTCAGAATCGTTTCTGTGCGAAGGTTTGAATTCTTTTTTTCTCGCGGAGATTAGTATATTTCCGAGTATATCATGTCTACCTACTAGACGGTGGGATTTTTTTCTCGAATTCTCTTGCGATTGGGTGTGTTCCTTGAAAATAATCTGTTCCATATGGCTATCATTGAAGAGATCAGTCTGGTTTTTTGCCTAACATTCTGAAGCTGGGCTTTTAGGGAGGGACGACTACCGATATCGCATAGGTGACCGTGAGTTATTTTTTTCCGAATACGGATTGCAGGACCATCTTTGACTTAGAAAACGGCGATTTTTTGAACCAGCCAATTAGCAGTCCCCTACATCAAGACCTACCCGAAACAAGATCATCCCTTTCTTCTGCTAAACATTCTATCGTAAAGCAGATAGACATACCTCGATAGGAATTGATACCTATGTATTTTCTACTTCCACATTGTTACGAAAAATTGTTTTTCAATTTTGCTAGTTGCCCTAGTACGAGTAGTATCTTAGTTCTATTTCAGCTTCGAGAAACATCCGTATATTCGACTGAAGCGGGGATGATCCTCGTCAAAATAAGGGGTTGGTGCCCCACCCACTCATTGTCCTTTTGGAGCC